GAAGCAGGTACATTTAGCTGACGAGTCCCAAATGGGACGAAGTGCGCATCCTGTATTCTGCTGTTAACTCCTATAAATCTCTTCTTTCAGTGGTCATTTATAAATTTGTAAATTCATATATTTAGCTTGAAACAGTTAGATAACAATAAATAAAGAATATTAAAGTCTAAGTATATACTATTATATCGTTTCTAAAATATGTTAATTTGAAAGTGCTAAGTAATTATTGCTAATTTTAGAATAAAAAAGTTTATGCAACCTAGAGATCAGTAATACTTTTGTGATTCATTTGTGGACTTCTGTAAAGAAAGCTTCAGTTACAATTTTTTAAGCGTTGGTGAACACTTCTGTTTTATTTTTAATTGATTCATAAATTTTTTCCCTATTCACTCCTAACTCTCACTTGTAAAATAACTAAAATCAGTTGACGTTGCTGAATATGTTGAAATACGTTGTAAAAATGGGATTACGCTAATAAAGAAAAAAATGCAAATGAACTAGGGATGATAATGGTTTCCGAATACTTCCGAAAAATCTGTCGTAAAGCATTTCTTTAAGTAAACTACAATGACTGCTATTGTACATAAACAAAAGCTTACGTCTTCACGCAAACTAAGAGAATACCTTTCCGGAATTAAATTTTCTAAATTAAATATCACACACTAGCGACACAGTCATTTCGGAATACCAGTAAGGATTTGTTTTTATACAGTTGTTGATATTTGTGACTTAATTCTAATCAGTTTATGTTGGCTTGTTTTCATCCCAGAATCAAAAGTAAGCATTTTTATCACATTTCAGACTTGTCACCTTGCTATATCTAGATAGTCTGTTCAGGACGCACATTTATCAATAAAGACTGACCAGTTGTGGTACTGAATATTAAAACGCGAGAATAAAAACTACAAAATAAATTCGTACCTGTTTCATAGGTTAGTTGTTATATATACTCAGCGACTGATATTCGAAGCGAAATTTACAGAGTTTCAGTCTCGGTGTGAACATCAACACAGGTAAAGATAAATCTAATTGACGGGACCAATAAAGGACGAAATGCCTTTTCTGAATTTCCCTGCTAGACACTATTCACATATGCCAAATTATTCCCTCAGGTTGATAAACTCACCAAACAAAGAAATATAAACAAAATTCCATCATCAAATATTTACATTTTTTGTAGCTGTGCGTTGTAATGAAACGGAATTGGACATCACTATTCCTAAAAATGCTAAGTTAGTTACTGCACGTAATCGTATCACGGAACAAGTCTTTGGCTTACATCAGGTTAATCAATTCTATTCATATGGAAATGTGATTTCTATCAGATGTAATCCAGGATATCTATTTAACGATCGTACTACAGAAAAACAGGTATCTTGTGAATTAGCGCCTGGTTCAAATACAGTTGGAGAATATCGTGGTTATTCTGGTACAGTACTACCATTACCAACAGAATGTCAAGGTGAGTTAGATAAATTCTTGTGTTATGTCAAAGTAGTGAGAAATCACGCATTTATATTTATTTTCTTTCGAGCAACTCACGGAAAACTACTACCCCTAAATCTAATTGTTGGTGCTTGATGTAGGGTAAATTTAATACATTACTTTTCAAATAACAAATAAACATGAAGATTATTTAAGGATGTAAATGGAATGGATGATTGATACGCATTTGCTTCATGACAAATTATTTTATGTGAAAAACAGCAAACATTAGTCAGATACGATCTAACTTTTGGAATTATTAGCACTGCACTTAAGATGTAGTGGATGAAATTACTTAAAATGCAAATAACAATTTGACAGAAGTGTGAAATCTACAAAACAATAAATAACTGGTGTATTTTATATTTGATTTGTCATTTCTATTCTTAAATAACTTGGTATTTCAACAAGGTAAGTTATTTTTTCAAATATTTCGTGCATATGATCTGCTTCATAATTTTAAACAATTTTCAAATTAACTGGAGTTATTGGCTTATATATAGATTAAAAGTAACTAATAATAAGCACTGAATTTATTGTTTTTTGCAAGCATGGTTATCACTCCTTTGTTTAAGTAATAATAAAGTATACCATGCTCTCTCCATATAATATGCACAACAAAGATACATAAAAAATAGCATAATATGTCGCATTTAAAGAATAATTAATATTATTACAGAAAAAGTACATCCACATTACTTAACTATTAGTAGTCACATTGTTCCTTATCTAAAACGAACTCAAACTATCGTCTTCAGCTTTACTCTCCTGTAGCTTACAACTTTCATGAATCATATAGACAATCAGCAACCCAATGGTTTGTTTACACACTTGTAGTTTGGTAGTTTTAAATTAACCAACACTCCTAATCATATGCAATAATTGTCTTGAGAGATTCAACAAAATGGATAATACACAATAACTATACGAATAAAGCTTGACACAACGAGAAACATAGAAATGTCCTATCTGTAACATGATACTAAACTTTATGAACAATGGGAAACTATGTGACTTCAAAGATCAGGACAACAAGATAGATCTTCCCGAAAGCAACATGACGTTGGTAAAAGATTCAAAGGACGTCTACAGCCGGATCCCAACTAGCTTATTAAATAGTCTAAAAAAATACACAACAATACTTTAAAGACACTTGTAATCAACGTTCTGTAACTTTGTATCCTCTATTGATAGATAGAAACAGTTCTTCTCATTTAACTGTTTAGGGAGATGAATTTTCTAACCATTGAGAAGAAAAGTGCATTTGGGCAATACTCGAACAGTAGCAAAATACAGCCAGGTGCTTTAGAAAGAACGCCAGTTATCCACACATCCATACTAGTTGTAGCTGGTTTTAACATGACTTATTTGAATTGCAGAGATATGACGCCATTTAGCAGTACACGAGAACATACTAGTTGTATTGGCCAAAAATATTTTGTAATCCATAATAATTTCCAGCATATCATTCCTAGTATCCACTCTATGGTTAAGGACTTCTCACTGACAACTAAGAACACTTCCTCAATTCTTTCGATAGCGTTTTAAGGTCTGAAAACTCGTTGTTTCTTTTTTCCCTTACTACTTGATTCTAGCTTATACTTTAGGTGCACATGAACGAATATATATAGTGATTCAGTCAATCAATACTGTTTTAGCTTTATTATTTAACTCAACTCAGACATCAACAAGAGTGAGTACTTATCCCATGGGCTTTTTAAATAAATGAAACAGTTGAAAATATTATTTTTAATTATTATGAACGGTTATAAAGTATACGCGTTATTCACAGCGTTAAGGATAAAAATTTCGGAAGGTAATTATTTAGCAACTTCAGATTTCAACTAAGTCAAAACTTCCAAAAGATAAGAAGCTAAGTGAAAAGAAATTAAGTTAGGAACATGTACAAATCGCATTCAACATAATTAAAGATGAGAATAGCAAAATGCAATGAAATTACTTTTCGCTTAGTAATACAGTCTGCGTTTATTAGCTAAAATATGTAACTGTTTCATTTAATTTTTGTTTAAATTGCCAACACTTTTGTAAGTCTAAACCACATCAGATGGCTTGATAAATCATTATTACTGGTCCTTTGACTGAAAGTTTGATCCTAAGAGGTAGTGAGGCGACGTCAAAAGATGGATTACTATAGTACCAAACGAATAAAGTGGGTTTCTGTTCAAGTTTATTCATTTCCCTTTTGTGATGCTAACGTATTCACCTCTTCGGCTAAAAAAAAGCAGAAGTTTGCTTCTTTTCTATCAAAGTTGTGTTAACATGTCATTTACGTGAACTAACTAATCATGAATTCACAAAACCGTTCAACATGCTTACATATGATAATTTTGCAACATGTACATGTATATAATGTGTATCCATTAGTTTCCTGATGATGATCCTAGTGAAATAAAGTGAAGATTATATTGGTTTCTATTGACTAACTAACACCCATTGTCCTTTATTTATTTTTTTAAATACTAACATCGAAAGTCTGATTTTTAAAATTATAAGTTCGTTTTTTTTAATTTTTAGAGGCCACTTGTTTATATGAACAAGCCGTAATACAACCGGATTATAATATGGAACCATATTTTATTGTCATGAAAAGTAACATAGACGTGATGAATTTGACGAAACACAGTGGAGTTCCATATCCACGTGGAACAGTGATTCGATACTTTTGCAAAGACGGTTATGAAAGTATTCATCAAAATTCCGAATTAAATATCACATGCGGTAATTACGGCCAGTGGACTCCACAACTAATTGGTTGTATTGGTAATCAAACAATATTTGGTTGTTTTCCTTTTAAAATTTCCCTCTGTAGATCCAATAGGCTTTTGCATTAATAATTAACAGTACATTTGTATTTTTCCAAACAAATGAAAATTTGAGTGATTCACTGTTTACCAGTAATAGTATATTTCACTGACTACTAATCATACAACGTTTCTTGCAGTCGATAATTAGTTCGAGAGGTATACACTATGAACTTGTAGCTATCAGTAATAAGCCACAATTTTATTCCAGTTTATGGAACAAAGACCATATAAAATACAGCGGGAAGTAAGCTACCCTTAGGTATTCTATTTTATCCATAACTCATTTTCATCGAACAACTTTATACAGGAAAACTCTGTGGTCTTTCTAAACATATTGATGACTTTCTTGCCGTTCACTGACTCAACACTTATTTGTTTTATCGATATTTGATGATAAAATAGCCTGTCAAGTCCAAGTGTTTACCTGTGATAAGAATGTATTAATTAGAAAAGCAATAATTCATCAGTTCGCGACTTCTTTTCTCAGTTAGTATTCATTTGTGTTACAGTACTTAATACCTAATAACTATTAGAGTAACTAAAACTATTCTTTGAATTTTCAGCACTTTAAAGTGAATACATCTCATAAATGACAAATAAGATTACATATGTATTGGGACTTCTTTTTAGAGAAATCACCATACATACAACAAGAATACAAAGCAATTTGTAAATATGAGCAAAAGGGTACAAAACCTGACAGTCATGTCAGTGGTGTGCGAATGTAAAAGGGAAGTAAATGAGAGACAAATCGTACGAAGGAAAACAACCATAATAAATAGATGTTTTAGGAATGATATATACAAAAAAGAGTCCAACTTAAAAACGAAAAAGTAAAAAATATATTTCAGGAATAGCTAGAGCAGCAGTTGGTCAACCGTGAAAGTGATATCCACCCTGAGGTAGCTTAGCATAATATGAAAAAAGCTAGGGAAACAGCAGTGGTATCTGCAGGTAACTTGAACCAAAAGGTTGAAAAAAAAAGAATGGATCCTAATGGCGTTTACGGTACTGGTTTATGCTCGGAAACTTGTCACTCCTGGCTCAGAACACTATGTGGAGCGGAGGAAGCTTAAAAGTGGGCTGACAAAAAGCATATGTAATGGTCGTAAGTAGCAAAAACAGTAGAAATGATAGAAAATGCAGCAGTCAAAGATAACAGAAGAAAACTGTTCAGACTTCTGGAAGAAACCGACATTAACAATACGGTTGTTAGTGAAACAATCTCGGAAAAGGATGGGACTATTACTCACTTCCAATCCATGGGATTAAATCGAAGGGCAGAACTTTTTAGGGAACAGTTCAACTGGCCTTCAACCACACTGCAGTTACCCACTATCTTCAGTCAACCTGAATGGTGAATTGATGCAAGCCCTTCAAATCTTAGTGAGGTTGTGAAGACTACAAGCAATGTAAATGGAGGGAGATCAGGAGGGTCTGATGAACCAAATCCCGGGATTTTCAGGGATGGTGGTTCAGTTTTAGCAGCTAAATTGACTGAGATCTTAGCTAAAACCTGGGAACCGAGTATAATCCTGTCTGAATAGTCTCGACCACTGATCGTTCCAGTCCACAGGAGAGGTTGAAAATTCTCGTGATAATCACAGAGGACTCAGTTTGACCAGTGTAGTAACTAAAGTATTAGCTTCAATATTAATCTGACGTCTAACTTGAGCTCGTAAAAAGCAGACCTGAAAATAGATAGCCTGTTACGAGATTTAATGACCAAACTGCAATGGTCAATCATTTCCACGGTTAGTTACTGTTATTTCAATCATCCATTTTATTAATCTAATAAAAGTTTTTTTCTAAAATCCACTTTTTATAGCAAGAATTGAGAAAGTCCCTGTGAGTCTTACTGGACGAATTTATACTGAACCAAAAGAAGCTGAATCTGCAGCAAAATTATCCTCAATTATGTTCATTATGGTTTTTATATTTCTGGGGCTAATTTTATTGCTAGATTTAGCCACTATTGGTAGAGATTTCAAACAAATACGGAAAAATATTAAATTGCAAAGAAGAAGATTGAAACACTCAGGAAATAAAAGCAAAGTTGGTTGAAAAAAGTACTTAGTGAACCATCTTATTACGGTCAATAATTGTTTTTTTTTGGCTCAATCAGAGATAAAATATGTTAAATATTATCACCATTGTGAAATTACTGTTAGTAAATTTTAAACGTTTGTCCTTTATCAGTTTTTATTTCAACATTTTCACTGATAGATAATTTATTGATGTTATTTAGGCTCTTCAAAAAACTCCTTCGTTAATCAGTCATTTATAAACAACATAAGATCTAGACCAAATATCCATAGACCTAATCTGTAAAGTTTTATACCAGTACAAGAAGACAAAACCGATAGGAAAAAATCTAATAAGCCCAAAAGTTAGTATCACTGTTCGTGAAAATAGGATAAAAAGTACGGTTAAAAAAAGAATGCGTGAAATTGATCGCTTAAGTCAAAATCTGAAGTGAGAAAGGAAATTTATATACATGCGTTACTGCGATTGATATTGAACCACGTCATCCAAGGTCTCCAACCGTAAATAACGACTAGCAAGCAGACCCCAAAATAATAGGTTGGATCTTTGATTACGCTTCACTTGTGTAGTTTGTAACTTCCATTGACCAATAATATAAGCTAATTTTTGTTTATAGTATATCCTGTGCTAAATGTTACGTAAAAGCCAAAATCAACACTGTAAAGAGAATATTATTTTGATATTTTGCATCTCTGTTACAAACGGTTTGATTTGTTAACATGAAATATATAAATAAGTTTAGTTTACAACCTTATTTCAGTGTCTTTAATTTAGAGAACAAAAAGTCCCAACTCCATGTTTCATCAATCTGTGACAATTAAAAAGATTTTTAAATCGTTCAAATAATTATACACTTACTTCTTGCAATTCAGATTCAGAGAATAAATGTTTCGTCAAAACCCTCAAGTTAATATTACCGTCCTAAAAAAAGATGGATTATGATCAAAAGTATTTTAAAGAGTTCACTATCTTCACTTTAAAAATGTTATCTTACCAATAACTGAAGAGTGCCATGATTGAGTAGATCTTGACTAAGTTCACAGTACGCTGGAATTTTGTTTATGACCACACTAAAGCAAACGAAACCACAGAAATGGATCAGATAAGCTTCATGAATTCACCAAATATGAGGTAATACATGAAAAATGTCTAAGTCCAGCTATGTACATACATTAAAAAAGCTACATTTCCTCATTCTATTTGAAAAGACACTTTCTTGCCCGTTAACTGAAGCGAAATGCTTAGAGGTTTTTTCATCCTACTTTTACTCCTTTCAACAATGAAAACTCGAAATCAAGTATTTAGTTTAAATCCAATCTATTTAGTTAACCCTGCTATACAACATTACTGGTTACCGTATATCCATCCGAGTGTATATACATTAGTACATAAAGGCCTGTTTTCAAACAATTCTGCTTTGGTGGCCAAGGCCTAGTGGTGTAAAAACTGAAATAGATCCATGAACTAATGTACTACGTGACCAGTAAATGTGTTCTACAAGCTCGGAAGATATACTTTACCGATAAAGATGAGCTTGAATAGGAATAAAATTTAAGGCCCAACGATCAGTGTCGTTTATAAACACTGTTTGTTTTAAATATTTTATAATCTTTTCTGTTTAATATATTAGCTCAACCTAGCCTTATACATTTTAACATATGTAACAATAGAAGTGTATAATATTAAATATATATTGCACGGTGTTCCTCAGGTTCAAGAATTTAGATATCCTCTCAGCTACTAGAACTAAAATTTATATCCATTGCAGTAGATAGAAGCAAAGAGATGATGAACTTCACTAGTTTTGCCGACCCATAAATCGATCAATCAACAGTAACAAAGAAGTAGATTACATTTGATTCAAAATTAACTCCAAAAACAATAGCTCAAATCATTAAATAGAAGTCAGTGGAAAGCATATGTTGTGTTCATTGACAGATAAACATGTATCTATTAACCCGAAACAACTCACTGCGAATCCATTTTAGTGTATGTTTTGGTCATGAGATTATATACAACCTCATGTACCTAAAAACCAGCTGGATGAATGATAAATAGGCTGAGAGAGGTTTTTATGTTAGAATCAGTTAAGATTTGATACTGTGGTCCCACCACCAACTTTTTGGTTATTTCTGCACTTTAGTAGTATAGTTAATTCTCAAAATTAATCAAGCTTTTAAAAGCTAAATTCTTGGTTAAAATATTCAATGAAGAATTAATAAGAATCGTTGTCATGTTTCTCTATTAGACATGATTATATAAAAACTAAAAACATATTTTGTATTATTAAACTTCGGCTAGGGAAAAATAGACTGCATCCATCTTATTACTGTTTCGTCATATTAACTGATAAGCCTGTCAAACCTTTTACCGGGCTATTTAAAAATACCAAAAATGGTTCTAATATTAAAAGAGTTTGAGCATATTGTTGTATGGTACAGACAAAGGAATTAATAAGTCCACTAAGCGCTTGTACAAAACCCATTGAGCAAATTTGATTAGCAAGTTGACCAATTCTTTTATCTAAGGGAATTTCGATATAAGGTTCTTCCTAAATAATCAGTGAACACCGGGTCATCTTGCGGCGCCAAAGTGCATTGGATTTCTACCTTATATTATGTAAGCGTGTTGCCACTTTGTTTGTAAACTTAATCTAATAGCGTGGTAGTTTAGTATAATTTTTAATAGCGTAGATCCACCTTACAAGTTAACATAACATGGATTGATCAATGGATGGCATAACAGACCTTAGAACTCATAATGGAGAACACATTTGAGTACAACACTGGACTACCTCAAATTTTCATCCGATAAGATCCCTGATTCATTTACACAAAATCCAATACAATATGACGTGTATGAAATGTTGCTACTTAGTTCATAGTCGAATTTTTTATGAATATTAACTACAATAATTTCATCTTTTTACCCCGTTTTATTTTTGAATTGTCACTCGTCATCTTGTCCCGCAACCTTGATGTTAATACTTCTACCCTACCCGCCTTCTACAGATAGCTATTTTAAACCAATCACAAAATCCCCTACCAAATCTATTTACGAAACCTATTCATAACGCCCACCAAGCAATCATCTACATTAACATATACAAGTAGCAAGTGGCATCGACTGCTTTGTAAACTTATTCAAATTGGAAGCTGAAGTAACGGAAAATTATCCGTTAGACAATCAAAAGAAGCCCATCAAGCATAATATTTATATGAAGTAAGCTTGGATATATAGGAAGAAAAGTACAAAAAGTTGGTGATGAGGACCGATACTCGATCTAATAAATTTCTTTTCAGTCAATTCAGATCTTAACAACAAGGCATTAGAGCTTAACAAATGAGCAAGTGAACTCCCCAAGATATACACAAAAAGTACTTTTGTACATCAGTAATCGACGACAAACACTGTTCTTATACTATTTTGATGACTGAATTTTTTATGACCATGTGAAGATCACACAGAATATGGAAAAATCAACCTACAAAAAAAATCTCGAAAGGGATGGGAAAAAATAAGTTAGTGTTAAAAATAAAGGCTGGTGCAGACTCGTTTAAACTTTCATGAGTCAAAATATCAAAAGATTCTAGTCCTAAAAGATACATTACAAATTAAATTTTAACTTTCATAATTTCATTCATTTTTAATAACACATACAAGAAACTGGTAAGGCAATTGGCAGAAAATTCATGTACCTCGGTGCGACCGCACCCTGAAATGCGGTAGACTGGTCCTCAACACTACTTAAATCAGGAACAATCGGTATCTCTGTTTATTCGTAAACACAAATAGAAGATTACCGAGTTCTTCATCAGATTCTAAAAGATTGTATTCTTCATAAAGTTAAAGAATAATTTTACCTTCCCTACGTAAAGCTTTGCAAAAATCTAGTGTATCTTCATCAGCTCTGTGAAAGTGTTTGTTGAGATATCTGTACAGTACATACCTTCTGGAAAAAGAAAAAAATTATGAGCAAATACCACATCTCTAAAATGTATAGATACTTTCCAAACCATACGCTGTGCGAAATTTCACCCTCGTTCCAACCGCCTATTTTACATTCCGGAAGGTTATTGGTCTTCTTATTCACATGAATCACGAAAAAACCTACCTTTATATCACTAGCTTTATGTAGATCAAACTCATCTTTATCTTTAACCGTTTTTTTAGCTCTTCTACCTTTTTTGGCAAACTATCAAAAATTGTGTAAATCTAAAAAGAACGGGCACTTTTGCCGATCCACTATTCACGTCCAAAACATCCGCCATTACTCTGTACATCAAGTCATGACAACAGAAATATCAAATTCAATAAACATAAATTTTAGACAAAAAGCAAATAACCTGTATCAGCATCTTTATCAGTAAAATTCACGAATTTCTAAACAGTAGAAATAATCTGCAGAAATCTACCAATCACATAGATATAAGCGCGTGCTTTAAAAAGGCGAGGATTTCATAGCTTTCTTACGTCACTAGGTCACCAAAATGTAGTGGATTTTCCTACCCGTTTGGATGCTAATCTAGACTTCGTCTTCATTAATGATATGGGTGTATATGCGACTCGTAAACGTGATCCATTGTCTGGCTCGGACCACCGTATAATTCGTGTTCTACCTAAAGTATATGGAAAGCATGGGAAGAGTACACTCTTACATCAAACCAAGAAAGTCAAATATAGGAATTACTCAGAAGAAAATATCCGAAATCTGAAAAAACATGTTTCATACGACTAACTGCGAATTTTTTACAGATGACTCACTGGAAATCACTACTGATGTTATCACTTGTTACCTTAAATTCTGTTTTGATATTTGTTGTCCCACTGAAACCATTTTTGTAAGTTTTGATCGACTTGCATCTTCACAACTAAAACGACTACGGAGGTCGAAAGAAAGAATGTACAAGGAGAAGAACTCTAATGAAGTTCGTAAGCTAAATGGTCTGATAAACCAAGAGATTAGACGTCTCAGCTCCATGTTTACTCAAAAACTCTTGTATTGCAAAACTCTTTAAGTATGTGGAAACTCTTTAAAGAACTTACAGGTGACAGACAGATTAGGAGCGATAACCAGCTGAATATGTGTGACTTAAGTCTTTTTTACCACAGTCGTCAGATGTAATGCTCCCTTTATCCACAGGTTTAAAGAATAACTGTGTTCCTAGTTTCACTGAGACTGATATCTGAAGATGTCTTTAGCTACCTTATTATTCCCGATATTAAGGACGTGATGGTATCCCAAACCTCTTTTCTAAGAAATGTGCTGACGTCCAATGTTATCCTTTCACGACTATCTTTAACAGATCGTTCTCATCTAATCTCATACTGGAAATGTGGAGAATGATGAAGATAATCCCTGTATCCAAGAAAGTATCTGGTGATAAGATCTATTGCAATAACTTCACCTTCCTCAAAACAATTGAAAAATTATTGGTACTTCCACTTCAGCCTGCGATAAAAGAGCATATTGTTCCGTACCAGTTCGCTTACAGATGCAAAAGAAGCACCTCAGATGCTGTTGTTGTTCTGCATCACAACATAGTGTTCAACTTAGAAAAGGGTAAGAAGTATGTTCGATGTGCTTTTCTGGACTATACTTCAGCTTTTGATTCTATACCAAGACAACGTTTACTTAACAAGTTAATCAGCGTCAACACTGACAGCTGGATAACCAACTGGCTATGTTCCTACCTCTCTAGAAGGGAACAGTGCACTGTATTTGGAGAAAAGTGTTCAGAGTCTCTACTGTCTCATGAAGGTGTACCACAAGGAGCTGTTCTTTCACCTCTACTTTCCTCTTTTTTTCTGCATGATCTGCCATCATACACAGAAACCACTTTTGATTGTTGGTCTGTTGGTAATGGTCCCATACTTAATCCGTCTAAAAGTCAAGATGTTAAATTTAGCATGAGACATAAACGGCATCCAAGCACCGTTTTGAGATACCATAGTGCTTGTACAATCGGACTCTCTTTGATAAATACAGTGTCGAAGGTCAATTTTCTTGGTGTTACCATTTCCTCTGATCTCTCTTGGTCTTCTCACGTTTTATTGTTATCGGAGAAGGTTTTGCGTCTGACTTACTACATAAAGAGATTGCATGCTTTTGGGATTACTCATCATTTACTCTTACAATCTGTCAATTCTTGCACATTACCTAGTATTCTTTACCGTTCTCCATTATTCTTTCCCGCGCTTTTGAAAAAAGACTTTGCTGTATTGGGAGAGTGCTGAAGGCAGTTAGCAAGGTGTGTGGTGAATACTTCGAGGTCATAAATAATATGGTTGTGGATAAACATCTAAAGTCGTGCAGACTCCCGGCAGGCGTTAACCATCCCCATCACTCTTATCTTTCTTCTTGTATATGTTCTGGTAGAACGAGACGTAATTACATTAAAATCCACGCACGCAAGCAAAAGTATAAAGGTTCTATAATACCTTACTTAGCAAATATACTGTTTATTATCAGAAGGGGTTTGTGGAGATTTGTAGAAATTTTCACAGATTGAAATCATGAGTCAGTTGAAGCTAGACCACCACTGAAAACCTGGAAGCACTGGACGGCCGTTTCGTCCTAGTATGGGACTCCTCAGCAGTGCGCATCCACGATCCCGCATCACGCGGGGCTCGAACTCAGGACCTACTGGCTTCGCGCGCGAGCACTTAACCATTAGACCACTGAGCCGGCATCCAACGGTGTTAATGTCTAACTTCAACTAATCCACGAAGTTGCGCCACCATATACCATTGTCTTCAGTGAGCTGATATCTCACAACAGACCTGGTTGTACTCCACTGGTAACGGCTTCCCATTAGAACTCCAGGAGTTTCTCTTGAAGTCAGTCACTAGTGAGCAGATGATTATTATCAGATGGGGTTTGTGGAGATTTTTAGAAATTTTTCACAGATTGAAATCATGAGTCAGTGATGCGGGATCGTGGATGCGCACTGCTGAGGAGTCCCATACTAGGACGAAACGGCCGTCCAGTGCTTCCAGGTTTTCAATGGTGGTCTAGCTTCAACTGACTCATGATTTCAATCTGTGAAAAATATACTGTTTGACGAACAGATTGTTGGAGTTAACCAGGTCAATAACCTGTATTCTTAACATATCTTTAATTTGAAAATTTGTACAGTTTTTCGTTTTTTTACCTTTTTCTCTTTTTCCTCTTTGTTTTTGATTTTTTGCCTAAGTTGTTGAAATACCCCGTGATGATAATTCTATATGGTACTAAATAATATTTTCTGAATAAAGCCATTAATAAAAAAATCGAAGATAAGCAAGGTAAGAACCATAAGGAAGTACAAATTAGTGAACTAAATAAAACCTATCTCATTGAGATTTGTTTGGAGTCGTAAATAAATCCTTAGGAGAAATAGTTCCGTAAATCTTAGACACTAATACTAACATCATCAGATTTCACTGGACACACCCTATCTGAAGGCGACGAACATGCGTCCTCAAAAGGCCACGGTTTGTTACATTGTGTTGCGCATACTTATCAACAACTAGTCAACTTCGATCAAAATCATTTCAACACATAATTCTCTACCAAATTTGGCTTTAAGCCCACTCGTTTTTCGATTTCTGATTTGAGTGGACTGGTAACTGTAATTTATGAAGGTTTTTGTACACAGACAACGGCGCAAGTGCCGTAAGACTGTAGGCTAAACGCATTTAAAACCAACTGTAGTGCCTTAAAGGATGGAAGAAATGCTACATAGCACAATTAGTTTTAAAAGTTTTCAAATACTTTTACAATATTTTTTATCACGTTACAATGAGTCACTAACTTGTCGTTCTATAGCAGCTCCTTTCAGTATACTGAATAAAATTTCAATCTTTTACGAAGGTTGTTCTATTCAGAGTAAATACAAATGTTGTACTCCTTTGTCCTCATTCTATTCGACTGAGTTGAATATTGAAGGAACGCGCGTCATGCGGTTGGTGCATTTCTAGGTAGTTTACCGTTATTAAATTGTTTAGTATATGGACTAATGGTGTTTTATGAGTGAACACTACTGTTTTTTGTGTAAAATGTTTGAAATACTTTTAGTCACTGGAAACTCTTGGTTTTGTTTCCGCTATGTTTCTAAAAATCTGTGGTTTCACGTAGATTAGCATGAGCTGTTTACAGCTCGAATGATTACTAGGTCTCACCAAAAGCCCATATTGTGAGTGGACAAGCAGCTTAGCTTCGTAATTTATTACGAGGATCTCAATTTCACTTTTAAGTGGGTAAGTTTTCATTAAACGTAATTTCAATTTGATATCCTGAATAAACTATGTAACGTTGATCGGTCCCTTATTTGAATAGAATCCTTATCGCCCAAGAAAACCTAGCTAGGTACCTGGCTCACAAATATCGTATTCCAGCCATCAGCTTGTCCAACTAGCTTAACTTTCATAACCATCCGGTTACAATTAACGTCTTACGGTCCAGGTGTCAGATCAGTCAGTCAGTAACAACGTGGAACTTCGTACGTACGTACATCACTTCGAATTGCCACACCACATTAGCACAGAGGTGCAGTTATCGATTCAATTCCGTAGTGGAAAAGGTAGTAAGAGTATAAGTATTAATCGGGAAGATTAGGGTTTGAAGATTTATCCAAGGAGTATAATCCATTGAAATAAATTTGGAAAGAGAAAAAAGAGACAAGGAGAATTCAGAAGATTAGAATTTGGTAGATGCACCTGCGTCATTGCAAATGATTCTGAGCTATGTCATTCAAGGTTTCTAACCATCGGTTGCTATCATCTCGCGGATCCCAACCAGGTAGTCTACACCTACCAACATGGCTCAGTCCACTTGTCAGTAACGTCATGGACTTGTGCCATGTTTTGGCCTAGCCACCCCTAGCTTTCTTCCAATCTACTCCTATACCGTTGAGCATCGCACGTCGAGGCAGCCGGTGGTCGGGCATACGTATCACGTATCCCAGCCATCTCAACTGATGAAGTTTCACTACTTCATCAATTGATTTGCCATCCTTACCTAGTACACGTTTCCTAACAACTGTGTTACTTACTCGATGGTCCCACGATATACGAGCAATGCTTCGAAGACACCTATGATCAAATACTAGTAACCTACGAATATCCTCTACTCTTACCGGCCATGTTTCACTGCCATAAAGTAGGACGGAACGAACTGCTGCGCAGTAAACACGTCCTTTGGTTGATAGACGGATATCTCGCCTACGCCATAAATGACGCAAGTTGGCAAAAGCTAGTCGAGCCTTCTGTATCCGTGCTGAGATTTCGTCACACACCAGACCACAAGGGCTGATGAGACTTCCAAGATAAGTGAAGCGGTCGACACGCGCAACTACTTCACTCCCTATCATTAGTTCGGATGTCGATGCAACCCAATCCTGAAGCAACATTTTGCATTTCGAGGGAGAGAATCGCATCCCGAACATGCCTGCATTGTTGTTTAGAGTGGTCAGAAGACTCTGCATTTTGTCAGCGTCTTCACCAAATAGAACTATGTCATCGGCATATTCTAAGTCAACAAGTGAATCTCCCGGTAGAAGTTCAACCCCTGGAGATTTAGACAAGGAAAGTGTTATCTCTAAAAGTACGTCAACAACAAAGTTGAACAAGAATGGAGAGAGTGGACAGCCCTGACGAACACCACTTGAGGTAATCAATTCTGATGACAGTTCGCCATAAGCTCTCACTCTACCAGTTGTGTTCGAGTAGAGAGCCTTTATAAGGTTAATGTACTTCTTTGGTACTCCTTTCAGTGACAAACACTGCCATAGAACCTCACGATCAGAGTCGAATGCCGCCTTAAGGTCGAGAAATACTACCATTGTGGGGCGTCTGAATGTGTGTCTGTGTTCTAGAACCTGACGTAGTGTGAATATCTGATCTATACAACCACGTCCAGGTCGAAAACCAGCCTGGTTTTCTCTAGTCTGCTCTTCACGAGCTTTGTTAGGCGTCGAAGTATTATTGAAGCTAATATTTTAGACACTATATTAGTCAAACTGATTCCTCTGTGATTGTCACAAGAGGACTTTTGTCCTTTCTTATAGACTGGCACAATCAGTGATTGAGACCAGTCAGATGGGATTACGTCCAGTTCCCAAATTCTACCTAAGACCTCAGTTAATCTCATTGCTAATACTGGACCACCATCCTTAAAAATCTCAGGAGTAAACCTGTCAGGGCCTGCTGCTCTCCCTCGTTTCAGATTTCCTATGGCTTTTTCAACTTCGTAAAGAGCGGAGGACCTACATTAACTTGCCATTCAGGTTGACTGGAGATCGTGGGAAACCGAAGTGTGGCTGAAGGCCAGTTGAACTGATCCCTAAAGTGTTCTGCCCATCGATCCAATCTCCTGGATTGAGAATGAATAATATGTCCATCTTTCTCTGAGATTGTTTCGCTAACAGTCGGTTTCCTAATTCCGGTTTCCTTAACGAGTCTGAACAATTGTCTGCTATTACCTATTGCCGCTGCCTTTTCCATCTCTCTTGCTTTCGCTACCCACCACTGTTCGCGATCATTGCGTAGACTTCTTGTCAGCTTGCGCTTAAGCTGACTCCGCTCTTCATTATGTTCAGAGCCAGGTGGAATGAGTTTCCGAGCATCTATCAGTGCGATAGATGCTGCTGAGATCCAGTGTTGCTCCCTAACCTTCTGGTTTACCTTACTAGCAGATATCACTGCTGTTTCCACAGCTTTTCGGATATCATTCCATGCTGCATCGGGGTGGGCATCACATACATGGCTGCCTAACTGTTTTCCTAGTTGTTCCTGAAATATACTCTTAGCTTGACTATCATTAAGTAGGGCCCTAAGAGGTTTCCTTGCAGCGTCTTTCCTACGTCCAGTAAGACGCAAGCAAATACGCGCTCGCACTAGAGCATGATCTGAATCTAGGCATGTGCTCCAGAATGAGCGACAGTCTTCTATCGAGCCCCTCCATCGGTGGCTGATAGCGATGTGATCTATTTGGGTCCAACGTTGGGACGAATTAGGGGGTCGCCATGTTAAAAGATGTTTTTCCTTATGCTTAAAGTTAGTATTTGCAAGGAACAGGCGGTTATCTGAGCATAGCTGCAACAGACGGTCGCCATTATCTGTTCTTTGAGCCACGACACCATAAGATCCACCTAGGTGTCTTTCCCTTTCGCTTAGTTTACCTACTTGAGCATTAAAGTCACCGGCCACTATTACTACATCCGAGCGCCTAGCTTTTCGGAGAAGGTCGGGAAGCTTTCTGTAAAACTCATCTTTTACATCATCTGAGCTGCAGTCAGTGGGAGAGTAGGCAGAGACGACGAGTGTCCCTATCTTTCCGGATCCTTACTGTTCCGTTCAGTCGGACAGCGCACAAACGACTGTCTACTGGGATCCACTCTAAGAGAGCTAGTTCTGCCCTAGGACTCAATGCTATACCTACGCCGGCGAGGCCACGGGAAGCAGAATCAGGGCTTCCAGATACACGAAGCGTAAATCGAGTCGGTTCTTTATTTTGGCATGGTGTCAAATGAATGACGCTACTCGGATCCTGTATGCGCGTTTCGGAGACGCAGCACACATCGATGGCGCGAGATTCTGAGGTCCTAGCTAAGGAGGCCTGTTGTCCTATTTGGCACAGTGTTCGTACGTTAAAAGCTCCTACGTGTAGTTTAGAGCGTGGTTTCAGGAGACCAGGAATAACGTTCCGCGTACTCGAATCGTTTGCCCTAGCGGTGCGAGGTGATAAAGGGACGTGAGAAGGGTTAGTCGTGGAGATAAGAGAGTTATTAGGAGGTGTGGGAAGGATTTGAATGTGGCCAACTTGGTCTCGTGTGCTGTTAGAGGTATGAGGGCAGTTATCACTTCCCGGCTGTCCACAATGTGGAAGGGTATTTCTTGAGGAATCTGAAAAGTAAGTCGGTATAATGTTCGTCTTAACGACTTTGGAGCGTGACCGCAGAGCCCTAGGGACAACTGCTTGAGGCCGGTCTCACACGGCCTTTTCGTGGGAGGTTTTTGACGTGTTAGCTCCGTACTTGTTGAGACCCTACCACCGGAGACGGATATCCGTGGGATAAGGCGAGGTGTGACATTTTTAGGGTTGACCTTTTCTAACCCCTTCCTTCCTTGTGAGAAGGCAGCATCGCTGCAGATGCTGGTTGTCCGAGGGAAACACCTTACTGCTGTCACACCCCTCTAAGAGTCAGCGGTACGACTTCGCCCTCAGACCTTGAGTTGCTGCTTTTAGTCTTACCGTTCTCCAATCGACCTGACTGGCATGGTAGAACCTACAAGAACACATGTTCAAGGCAATATAGCTCGGTTGAACTCCAAAAACACCAGAGAATTTTTAGAAGCCTGGTACTTAGGTCAATCAGCAATCAACAAGCATATTGAAATCAATCCAGTTTACCAACCAATCAGGAAAATCATGCACAAATATAGGAACAAAAATCAAACCAATGGGAGACACAACCAAAACAAAGAAGTAAACAATGACAAATTTAAGGTCAATAAGAACCAATCAACATCGAGGTGCACAGAACAAGCTGTGAAACACATATATGGAGAAATTCGGACACTTCACTTCTATCTGAAGTTTGTGCTGATTATGTCATTCAGAAGAACGATGAAAGCTTCACGACAGAACCATCCAGCTCAGAGAACGAAACTCCACCAAAATCATCCACCTGAACTATAAATCTCCACTGTTCCTGTAGGTTCTACCATGCCAGTCAGGTCGATTGGAGAACGGTAAGACTAAAAGCAGCAACTCAAGGTCTGAGGGCGAAGTCGTACCGCTGACTCTTAGAGGGGTGTGACAACAGTAAGGTGTTTCCCTCGGACAACCAGCATCTGCAGCGATGCTGCCTTCTCACAAGGAAGGAAGGGGTTAGAAAAGGTCAACCCTAAAAATGTCACACCTCGCCTTATCCCACGGATATCCGTCTCCGGTGGTAGGGTCTCAACAAGTACGGAGCTAACACGTCAAAAACCTCCCACGAAAAGGCCGTGTGAGACCGGCCTCAAGCAGTTGTCCCTAGGGCTCTGCGGTCACGCTCCAAAGTCGTTAAGACGAACATTATACCGACTTACTTTTCAGATTCCTCAAGAAATACCCTTCCACATTGTGGACAGCCGGGAAGTGATAACTGCCCTCATACCTCTAACAGCACTCAAGACTGCTGTATCGATTGTCAACCCTGCCTACAGCTCGTTCTGTTGTGTTCATTTTTCGGGTGTAACCCCTAATTTTTGTGTAAATATTATTAGGGCCTTGATAGTAAAGATGTGTGTGACACTTCCAACCTAATATTTCTAGTCAGTGTTATTCAGTGCATTAAAATACAGTTACATATTGAGTTTCTTTGTATCATATTTTTCAAAAATGTGTATGCATGCAAATTATGTGGTTTTTTGGGTTACCCGCTGTCAATCTTAGGTTTTATATGTTTACTAGCTTATGTAACAAATAATTTGCAATCCTAACGTAAAACGTCCTTTATTGACCTCGATGTAATTCTCAATGCAGTAAGTTCGTGGTCTTGTACCTGAGTTTCAGCCACGCGTCTATAAAGAGCAGTAATACCATCTGAATATATCTACACTAAGTTGTGGGGGTGGTGGTCAAGAACCCAGCTGCTGAGAGTTCGTTGTCTTAAGGATAATTGATTCGAAATCGGTATTTATTGATAGTTTCCAGAATTCAAGACAGTCAAGACTTAAAATCATTTAGACGAGATTACTTTCTACATAGGCGAGATGTAAGTTTGAAAGAAGTGTAAACACAAAATAGATGGATAATGATGCGTAAAATAAAGTTGTTTGTAATTAGGTACTTACATGCATCGTTTGTACAAATAACACATTTTCTTCACTAATAATCATATTTGTTTGGATTAGAATAGTGCTCCAGCGCCCAAACCGGGGAATGTGATTATCTTGGGGGGCCAATTTCCTAGCCTTTAACTGGAGTCTAATCCACAATGCACTGGAGCAACGTCACTAGGTGTTTCATGATACCTGATGAACAGGTCGGGTTCATACGTCATCCGATCTCTCAGGATCCTATATTCTTCGTGCACCTAATGTTTGAAAGCCGACTTTTTCAGCTCCCCTACGTGGATCTTCAGCATCCACTAACCCGATTTAAGCGCCAGGCATTCGCCTTTCGTTCACTTCCTTCTGTATACAATACCCCTCTGCGAGATGAGGGTAAGACCACCCTGGCGGTGTCTATATCTGGGTGACTACATGAAACCATATCTAGAGGGAAAACAGAATCTTCCCTCCCTAATCTGTACCACGTCTTCCGAGGCATATAAATCTTTATACAATATCGTGGTTTAGCCTCCCTGTCACTGGGTATCGATCGTGCATGAAAAGGTTTCAAATTAATTCTCAAGTTGTTTTTAACTTGCCGTTTTAGCTATTTGGATCCGTTATCAGTCAAATATCGTTGAGGTTCAATATTATTCAATCCTCATGAATTGTAAGTCAAAAATGTTTATATGGCTATTGTATTTTACGCTATTAGTTAATCACTGTTTAGCTATTCCACATATATATTTTTGATTCTCAAACTTATTCACTGCCAGAGTTATCGTCTAAATTGAATTAAATGAATACCAGATACGTTTATTAGCTTTTCGAAAGGGAAATTGTTTAGCATCTATAATTAAATGTATCTCTAGCACATAATAAATGTGCATTAAAATATATTTTCCCTCGCAAATGTTTTTGTTGACAGTCCTACTGCTTATACTTGGAAACAAGACCCACTATAACTCCTAAGACGCGAATTAAAAGTAAATACTGGTGATAAGGGTTTGCTTGACCCCCGGACTAGATTAAGCTGACATATTAACACACCTTTTTTAATACGATTTGTTTAGTTAGTTTTGCAGTCAGGTTTGTGTTAATTAGACTGTGGTATTCAACATCAGTTAATTGATCACTCATCGTATGAACGTGCTTACCATATCATACAATTAAGCATCTATAACCAAGAGGTATCACCAATTGATTACTACTGAAGATCTAATTACATGTAACAGACGATTGGGGAAAATCTGCTTCATATGTTATTCTCACTCCAGTTGGTTTAGTAACTGCTTACCACTTTGGCTTGTCAGACAAATGTAGTTGCCAGGACATCTTTTATATGATTCGTTATCTAGCGGAGACTAAATTTTTAGTTGTAAAAACAGCTTAAGATCCAGTCATAATGACTGTTCTGTTTGGTTAGATGGTTCCATTAAGATTAAAAGAATCTGTGTCTTTACGTTGTCTCTAGTTGTATTTAAACGGATTGTAGCTTGGAAGCATTAAACAATGAAGTCTAACATCAGTTAAATGCTTTCAAGAAAGTATGTTCGACAGATAATGCAGTGCTACCGGGGAGTTCAAGCTCACAAGCCGGGCTCCCAGGCATAGACGGTGGTCATTTTTCCCGGGTCAAATAACGATGGCCGTCTCCTACAGCTTTGTGCAGGCCAAAACCTGTTTATGATCCGTTCCCCTCCACTTATTTATCTATCATTGTCATTTCTTTATTTTGCTAGTGCACAGCTTTTTGATCCCTAGTTGTACCGGAAATTTTGTTTATTAAATGAAATAAAATAAAAAGATAGTGTTTCGTAAATTTTAACATTTCGGTTCCATTTACATTTGAAGTCTTGAAAATATTCGAGAATCGGCACTCATGAATTTTTGGAGGCAGAATAATGTGTGTGACACATACACTGCTTCATCGAATGACCTATGTGGTGGAGTTTTATTTCTAATTTCAGTACTACTCACTAAACAGGGAGTGATACCTGAAAGATAATTTTATCTAATGTATTATATATATCAGTCAGTCAGCAACAACGTATAACCTCGTACGTATGTACATTAGTTCAAGTTGTCATACCACAGTAACACAGAGATACAATTTTCGATTCGAATCCCATAGTTGTAGAGGTAGTAAAATTATATACAGTAATCGGAGAAATTAGGGTTTGCGGATGTTATTCAATGAGTATAATCCAGTTACATTTCATCGTTATAGACCAATATAGAATGAATTATTGATAAATACATCTATTCTGGTGAAGAATTCAATATTAATTAAACTACAAGTAGCATCAAAAGTAATATAACACTAAAGACCTTAATTTCGTTGCTCCAAAGTTTTTACAACTATTTGTTGCAGTGTCAACACTTATACCTGTTTATATGAATATCCATCAATATTTAAGCAATAAGTTTTGAAGAAGTTGGGTACCGAGTATGTAGAAGAGGTTATTAATCCACAGGATAATTAATTATCCTAAAGAAGTTCAAACGCGATTATTAAAGAAAACGTTGGAATAGTTTAAAATTTATTCACTGAAATTCATTCAAATATAATTCTCACATATGATGACTCATTCCTCTTGTTTACAAAGTATTTTTCCATCTTAACCGAAAATTGGAAATCCGGATTTGTTTTTCATCCAGTAACAACATGTTCCGATTTTTGATAAGACCAGATATATTTTGAAACAAGCTCTGTGTGAAAAAAGTTTCATATGCCACAGATGAATACGGATTCGTGATACTTCTAGATAGTATAATTCTGAGTATTTGGTTTGTCTTGTTAGAAAGCAATGTGGTCGGGTTGTTTATGATTTTCTTTTGATACTTTGTATAGGAAAAGCAACCATTCAAATTTTAAAAAAACATGCTCCGTTGGGTTTTTGTTAATCTATATGTTCTTATTTAGTTCTTAATTTCATATCAACTATTAGAAGTCCAGTAGATTAAGTGATCAGTGTAATGATAAATTTTATTTATTCAATCGACTCTAGGGAATCAATAGGTATATTCCGTTTATTTAACCAATCATTCAAAAATATATCTACACTTATTTCTGTAATATGGAATGAATTGGGCATGTTTCTACTTGATGTACCATTCACAACAAAGATCGGAACCTATGATGGTCAACAAATACAACCTTTTGTTAAGGCGGATGTAAGATGAATTGTAGCTATTGCCTAGTAAATTTTTATTCCATTTTACTTTAGCGTTCAATGACCAGGCGTGTGCCTTGTGTGGAAAGGTTGTTTCTACCAAACACGGTATGGCTAGACATTTAAAAATCGTTCATGAAGGTGAGTTCTGAATATTATATGTTTATACATATCATTTTCGAATGTAGCATTGTCTGATTCTGCAACGAAAATATTTTGCTTCGTAAAACCCCGCAGGAAGAAGGTCTATATTTTTCCGCTTAATTGGTCTTGTCAACATTTATTGGTCGCTAGATCACATAAAAATCCTAAATTATGGGTCATTAATTAGGCAGCCAGTATTTCCCCTATCATGGATATCATGGGATTAATAATGAAGGCTTAAATATATACCGTAGATTATTTGAATTTATATTTCTACCGTTAAGCCGTTTTCATTTTTCTTCACAAAAGACGTAAAATGTTTATACACTTGCAGCATTGTTTGCGTTTTCTTATTTGAACATCGTCAAGGATCAAAAGAAGAAACTGATTCGTTCATCAACCTTGCCAGTGTAAGTATTTCAGAATAGACGTATAGTATTGCTGGAGAAAATAGTGTACACATGAGGAATATCGTGAGATTAAACCGTTTAGCTTTCATAAACATTTAGGTAAGTAAGAATCGAAATGAAATATGCCGTAGAACTCTACTAATCCAGATTTATCTTCACAATTCGTAAAATTATTTTATTTTGCTAATCATTTTTGTTTTTTTCGTATGATCATTTACTAAAACATTAATCCAATTGGCATTACTGCTTGGAAACACAGGTCTCGAAGAATGTAAATGTGACTCATGTGGACGAAAGTTTACCACAAAATTTGCCCTCCATCGACATATTCGAAAAGTTCATGAAGGTGAGTTAAACAGGATACCATACAAAACCCTAAATTCATCTATTTCTAAATCGTGTGCTAATATAATATAAAGCCGAACTTCTAGATTAATGTCTAAAAGTTATTATTACTAATTTGATAAGTGGGTTTCTTTTGCGTTTGTTCCTAATCTGACATACTAAGTTTTAGCACGAACTGCTCACATTCAAAGATTTCTATTATTTTTGATATTATTGTACCATTGTAGCTAACTTCAAGACCAGTGTCCTACTTCTATAAATAAGTTCATTGGAAAGCCGATACAGTAAATATGAAATTTCGATCACGGTAATCCATACTTTATTATCATCGCTTGTTGTAAATGTCCCCAGATCTTATAGGTCTATTTTTTTTACGTGGAGAAGAATACGCAACGTTCCACGGAATGATTACATTAAGTCACCAGGTGGAAAAACCCGGCATTCGACTTCCAATTAGCCCTTTTTAAAATAAGATAAATCTGCATTAATACGCAGAAAGTCTTATCAACACTGACCCGTCGTTTGCCCGTCCTTCCCCATCAAAAATTAACCTTATTATTCATCATGGTGTATTTGAATACTTAAGTAGGTCTGTGGATGTAATCTCTCGCACCCAAGCAGATGTCCTATGTAATAAGGCAGAGATATACCTACTTGGTTTTAGAAAATATCAATTTCATCCAAATTGTTAAGTACACTTATATTTTCTAATTCCCTAAAGATCGTTTTTATTTCCAAATATTTTTTAGGTATATCAGAACTTGTTCTTCCTTGTGCTTGTTGTGGGAAGAAATTCTCTGCCAAACATGGTCTAGAGCGCCATATGAGACTGATACACGAAAGTGAGTATTTTCACACCGGCTTTAACATTTGGCATTCTATTACTTGATGAATACTTACTACCATTTTCAAATATTTTACTTAGGTGCGGAATTGTGCATCTGCCCTTTGTGTAACAGGAGTTTTTCAACCAAGTTTGCTTTTAATCGTCATACAAAAACTGTGCACTCAGGTAATTCAGTCCTTATTACCTTCTCAAAGTGTTGTCTGCTTTTCTATGAGATCATTAATATTTGTGAAACTTAGCATCTTTTTACATATTTTTATAAACAAGATCCAAGCTTACTTCAGTTAGCAACATAAGCGCAATCAATAGTGTATAGGCCTAACCTCAGATCTTATCTTTCTAAATCTATAGATTCAATCAGCCTGTGTTCCCCGTGTAATATGCTATTTCCATCAAAGTTCGCTCTTCTTGAACACAACCTTACGGTCCATAATAGTGAGTTCCCTACTTGTGAAACAGTACTAATTGAACATTTGTCTTTTCAGCTTCAAAGGTGTTTGCTTGTCATGAATGTTTGAAATGTTTTCCTGATACAGAGTCACGAAGAAGCCACGAACAAAATGATCATGGTGGTAAGTAATATATTTGATAAATCTGCATAACTAATTAACTTAATTATTTATAATATTTGTGGCCATGAATAAATAAAATCGACCTCCATGTATTCGGTAAACTAGGTATTAGCAGAACTTAAGTTGTCTTTTCATTATACAGGAGCGAACATGGCCGCCTGGAAGTGCACTGTAAATTCTGAGAATATGAACTAAAACACTTAATGGCTCCGATTCAACATTCAAAGCTGTCAACACAAAACGTTACTTGCACCTGTTACCCTCCATGGGGCATAAGACGTACTTCCTCCTTATTATGTTTGAATTCCTACCTACAAGATTGTGTCTGAATTAGGGTGTATGTTTATGTAGCCGAAGACCTTGAAAAAAATGAACCAGTTAGTCAGCTTAGAGTATATTAAGATCTATCCTGGCCGTAGCGTAGATTCACCTTACAAGTTAACATAACATGGATTGATCAATGGATGGCATAACAGACCTTAGAACTCATAATGGAGAACACATTTGAGTACAACACTGGACTACCTCAAATTTTCATCCGATAAGATCCCTGATTCATTTACACAAAAATCCAATACAATATGACGTGTATGAAATGTTGCTACTTAGTTCATAGTCGAATTTTTTATGAATATTAACTACAATAATTTCATCTTTTTACCCCGTTTTATTTTTGAATTGTCACTCGTCATCTTGTCCCGCAACCTTGATGTTAATACTTCTACCCTACCCGCCTTCTACAGATAGCTATTTTAAACCAATCACAAAATCCCCTACCAAATCTATTTACGAAACCTATTCATAACGCCCACCAAGCAATCATCTACATTAACATATACAAGTAGCAAGTGGCATCGACTGCTTTGTAAACTTATTCAAATTGGAAGCTGAAGTAACGGAAAATTATCCGTTAGACAATCAAAAGAAGCCCATCAAGCATAATATTTATATGAAGTAAGCTTGGATATATAGGAAGAAAAGTACAAAAAGTTGGTGATGAGGACCGATACTCGATCTAATAAATTTCTTTTCAGTCAATTCAGATCTTAACAACAAGGCATTAGAGCTTAACAAATGAGCAAGTGAACTCCCCAAAATATACACAAATAATCCGTTAGACAATCAAAAGAAAAAATGGACCAGTTAGTCAGCTTAAAGTATATTAAAATCTATCCCGACCGTAGCTGCTACCTCGACGCAGTTGTCGGGCTTGCATATCGTGATGATTCAACCGAGCTATATTGCCTGGAACATGTGTTCTTGTAGGTTCTACCATGCCAGTCAGGTCGATTGGAGAACGGTAAGACTAAAAGCAGCAACTCAAGGTCTGAGGGCGAAGTCGTACCGCTGACTCTTAGAGGGGTGTGACAGCAGTAAGGTGTTTCCCTCGGACAACCAGCATCTGCAGCGATGCTGCCTTCTCACAAGGAAGGAAGGGGTTAGAAAAGGTCAACCCTAAAAATGTCACACCTCGCCTTATCCCACGGATATCCGTCTCCGGTGGTAGGGTCTCAACAAGTACGGAGCTAACACGTCAAAAACCTCCCACGAAAAGGCCGTGTGAGACCGGCCTCAAGCAGTTGTCCCTAGGGCTCTGCGGTCACGCTCCAAAGTCGTTAAGACGAACATTATACCGACTTACTTTTCAGATTCCTCAAGAAATACCCTTCCACATTGTGGACAGCCGGGAAGTGATAACTGCCCTCATACCTCTAACAGCACACGAGACCAAGTTGGCCACATTCAAATCCTTCCCACACCTCCTAATAACTCTCTTATCTCCACGACTAACCCTTCTCACGTCCCTTTATCACCTCGCACCGCTAGGGCAAACGATTCGAGTACGCGGAACGTTATTCCTGGTCTCCTGAAACCACGCTCTAAACTACACGTAGGAGCTTCCAACGTCCGAACACTGTGCGAAATAGGACAACAGGCCTCCTTAGCTAGGACCTCAGAATCTCGCGCCACCAATGTGTGCTGCGTCTCCGAAACGCGCATACAGGATCCGAGTAGTGTCATTCATTTGACATCATGTCAAAGTGACGAACCAACTCGATTTACGCTTCGTGTATCTGGAAGCCCTGATGCTGCTTCCCGTGGCCTCACTGGCGTAGGTATAGCACTGAGTCCTAGGACAGAACTAGCTCTCCTAGATTGGATCCCAGTAGACAGTCGTTTGTGCGCTGTCCGACTAAACGGAACAATAAGGACTCGGAAATATAGGCACACTCGTCGTCTCTGCCTACTCTCCCACTGACTGCAGCTCAGACGATGTAAAAGATGAGTTTTGCAGAAAGCTTCCCGACCTTCTCCGAAAAGCTAGGCGCTCTGATGTAGTAATAGTGGCTGGTGACTTTAATGCTCAAGTAGGTAAATTAAGCGAAAGCGAAAGACACCTGGGGTGGATCTTATGGTGTTGTGGCTCAAAGAACAGATAATGGTGACCGTCTATTGCAGATTTACTCAGATAACCACCTGTTTCTTGCAAATACTAACTTTAGGCATAAGGAAAAACATCTTTTAACATGGAGACCCCCTAATTCATCCCAATGTTGGACCCAAATACATCACCTGGTTAATTTCTTTTCTATGGCATTAAATTTAACAACTTGAACTGATGTGCATTTGTACCAGGTTCCACTTTATTTGCATTAAAATGATCTGCTACAAATCTATCTGGGAGCGTTCAGTGCTCTTATATTTATGTTGAAGTCAGTCGTAGAAGCATGTATATAAAGCTAGCTTACAAAAAGTACATATCGTTCCCGTAAAAATTCAAAATGTAGTGTCGAGTACTGTCACACCCATGTGTATTATTCCAGCCCTCAAACAGACCAATTTATTCATTTTTCCTGCATCACATTTTGATCTTGTCAAATATGCGCTAACAAGCGTGTGGGTGTGTATTGCCTACCCTATTCATCCTATTTTCAGTTTATGTTTGCCCAGCTATTAATATCGAGTCACGCTTTATCAAATTAAGTTGACATGTTTGTATTTTCCAGTCTCCTTCGCTTGTTTGCATTTCATTTTTAATGTCTATATGTGTACACGAATGCTTGAAACTAATTTACCCTACCTAATCCGTACTTTGGCTTATTACCGCCAACGGGGTTTGTTCGTCAGAAACGGAGTCAAATGGTGGAACTCTAAGAAAGAAATAACGTAATTTCAGGTTAAAAACTTCCCTCATATATGTAACTTCGCTTAATCCCATCAATTCTAATTGAAAACTCTCACAAGATAAAGTGATTGACTCAATAACACAGTATAAACCCATATACACGGCTTTGAACCAAACTTTGCGTATTCAAACTGAAGTAGATATAGCAGGACTCGGATATGCGACTAAATTTTGAGTGCTAAAGTGTTTGCTGGTCATGTCTGTGTTTTAATACCAACCGATGTTCAGATATGAAACAGTTTACATTCAAACCTGGTACTCGTGATATTTAAAAGAATTGTTTTGTATGGTTTTAATCAATAGACGGTAAATTGACTGTATTTTCCCCTACAAACAGTTGAACAGCTTCTGACTTCGAAAATTGGAATACAACCAACTGCATAAAAGCTGATGTTGATATAACCAAGAAAATATCCAGAAAAGAATGTAGATACCTAGTTACATAGAAAACTAAGCGAGGTCACGAGCCTTTGTACTTTCATCTTATTGTTTACTGAGATATTACAAAAAAACAATGTAGCTTATATATCGCACGAAAGTTAAAGAAATAGTACTGAGGTAATGTTGAATAATGACTAAGTATCCTTTGTTTTAATTATTCATTTATTTTTTCTGTAGTTGGGACTTCAAACATGTATTCGCCAACGACGCAATCATCTTAAAATAAAAATTTCTTACGCTTCCAACAAGCTACTTGAACAATGTATAGAGTGACTTCGTAAATTTCATTGTTTACAAACGAATTTCTATGCATCTTGGATGTATCAGGCACTGTGACCATGTACATACAAATAATATTGTTCTTTTTTTGTTTACCCTAAATTTTGTCTATAAATATCGCAGCGTATTACATTATATTTCATGTGCTTATACACAAGTTTAAAAACCATGAATATATCAGAATTGCTCTCAAGCACTTTATTGGTTCTTTCGCGTTCCCTGAACATCTGGAGCAATCATTATTTCCTAGATGAACTTTTTTGATGCTTTTCTTATTATGTAAGGATTTAGCGCAAGTAGGACAAAACCACCGACCTTTTGGTGCAACGGTTAGGTTCACGCAAGCGTAGTGAAACCATTCGAAGGGGCAGTCTGGGGCGTCGCATGCTATCATGTCACCATAACTCACATCTCGGCATATACAGTAACGCTTGTAATCTTCATCATCATCTGGTGGGTCGGTAGTATCTTCTGGTTTCGGATTTCCACTAAATTCATATGTTTGATCGTCAAATCCATGCCCCAGCGTTGCATTGACACCAGAATTAGGTGAATCATCAAGCTTTCCGAACTCATCAACTGCAAGGTCATATGCTAGCCCTATTCTATCAAATCTTCGCGGGTATCGGCGTTTCTCCCGAACACTAGAAAAACTTTGTGTTAAACCGGGCCATCCGGGTGAACTGATGTTGTCTGTCACTTGATTCTCAATTGAACCTGCCTTTGGTGTTAAATTGAGCTTGTCACGATCTGTAAAGTTAGGTTCTGCTGTGTCGTAAAATAAATGACCACTGGAAGAGTTAGTACTTTTAATAATACGATCGTGCATTCCAGTATGAGTCTTAGCATCCAGCGACATATCTGGTAGCAAGTTCGAATTGTTTTCAAAATTGTGGAAAATCCAGCACCTGCATTGTGAACGCTTGCAGTATCCTCTTCGAACTTTGTAACTCCTCCAGTTTGTGGATTAATCCTGTAAAACCCAAAACAAAAGATTACCATGCAAACATTTTATGACATTAGATGGGTTTTCCGTAACACCGTATCTGATTAAAAAACTTAGAAAGCTGACATAAACACCTGGTTCCTTTCCCAGTGTAAATCCATCTAATATACTAGGCGCAGCGAAAATGTGTATTTTTGTTACAGTTACTAACAATTACTCGTGAATAGTTCTGAGTTATCGTTTATGGGTTCTAATCACTGACGATAAACGTCTATACCACAAACCGACCTAAAGAAGATCACTTAATTGTGAATACTCCAAAGTCCTAATACATGCCATTTAGATCCAGTTGTGTCACCGGGTTTCTTAACGTGGTATTTTGTACATGGTGTGGCGCGTGCTACCTATATTGACATAAGTAGTATGTAACGCGAGTCAGGAATGTAATGTCTGGCAGCAGAAGATTGGGAAGATCAAGAAAGGAAGAACGGGAATAGAAATGCAAGAACAATGAACTCCGAAACAATTATTGAACATTTTGCAAATTAGGTATTATAGTATTGTTTTTCTATTTTACCAAGTAACTCTGTAATGTTGTGTTAAATATAATTCGATTGTCTTCAACTGTGTTCTCCTTCACTACAATAGTACCTTACCTTTTCAAATAATGTTAATACTCGCCGAATTATAGCACGACTTAAAAGAAAAACTAGTAAAGCCTGGAAACGTAGTATTTAGAAATAGAAACTTTGATCCTTAGGAAGTTTATTTAGTTTAAAGGGATAACAAACATGGGAGCTAGTATGCATAACTACCGGTAATTGCTGGAGTCCTAATTCAAGAGGCTAATTCTCATTAAACCATGTGAAAAGTCATTGTCAAAAGATATCCCGGTTACTTTCAATAAATTTATGGGAACTGTATGTTCTTGATGATGGTCACAACTGTATACATTTTACTGTTTCACTAGGACGTTGTCATTAGGCGAAAGTTAATATCGTGCTGAAATCGTTGGTGATAGGTTATGCAATCGTATTCTGATCACTAATAACACTAACTGAAAACAGTGAAAGGTGTATATGATCGTAATCAGGCATCATAAAGCTAGGATTTCCATACTAAAAATGAACAACACGACAGGGGGGTTTTCCCGTGCAATCCATGCATTTTAAATTATTCAAAGGAAATTTGAACTTACGTTTCAAAGGTTCTGTCGTAAGAACTGTCACTGGACTGATGGTCCAAACATATTGAGTCTACAAACAAAAATATTTCAAGAAAGTGAAGTGGGATGTGACAAGGATTTTCCACTTAAATATTGGTTTTCGATATATCAACATATGACAGAAAACTTTGAAAAATATATGTACTTTTAGCATTTTAGGACTCGTGTTTGATTCATGGTTATTAACAAATATTTGTTCTCTTTTGTGAAGATATTTGTAAAATGAGTCCCTAAAAACATAATTTCATAAATATCCGCTTTATAGCCAGTCAGCATAGGCTTATGGAGATTGAGTTTCATTCATATTATGAACTGATCAATCTTAAACTACCTAGAACCCATACACTGACAACCATCATGTGCTTGCGCGCGAGACCAAAGTCCTGAGTTTGAGTCAAAGTACGGAGTCGTGGATGCGTGAAGCTTGAACCTATACTAGAACGGGACCGCCGTTCAGTGCTTTTAGATTTTCAATGGTCTAATACCGATAAGTTTATTCACTACAAAGTAACCTTTGTTGCTCGACCGTTGCTGCAACCCTAGTTAGATTTTCCACACACGCGTCACTTGCTGCACAAGAGAGATATCTGTCTAGAAGCTAAAGTAAAAGTATACTGCACACCAATGAGTGTAGCTACCTTGACGTGGTGGTCGAGCTAGCCTATTGTGATAAATCAATCGGGCTATACTGACCGGAACAGTTGTTCCTCAGGATGCCAGATAGGTTGGTTGAAAAACGGTAAGACTAAAAGCAACAAACCCAAGGTCCGAGGGCGAAGTCATACTGTTGACTGTACAGAGGTGTGACGGCGGTAAAATGTTTCATAAAACCAGCATAACAGCGATGCTGCCTTCCTACACATGAAGGGTGGGGTTGAAAAGGTCGACACTGAAAACGCACACCTCTCTTTATCCCACGGGTTTCTGTCCCCGGTGGTAAGGTCTCAACAAATACGGAGCTAACACAAAAATTACCCAGAAAAAAGCCGTGTGTGACCGGCCTCACGTAGTTGTCCCTTGGTATTTCGACTCAACGAACTGGTAATGGTGACCGACTGCTGCAACTGTGCTCAGGCAATCGTTTACTTTTAACAAGCACTAATTTTAAGCACAAAGAAAGATATCGTCTAACACGGAGACCGTCTGCATCAAACTACAGATGGACCCAATTGGACCATTATTCGTCATTGGAGAGGCTCGATAGAAGACTGCCGATCGTTCTGGAGTAAATGTTTTGACTCCGACCATGCTTTAGTACGAGTACGCATTTGCTTGTGCCTCACTGGAAACAAAAAAACCATATCAAGAAGACCCATTAAAGTTGGACTCGGCGATAATAAAGCCAAGACAAATTCCAGGAACAACTGAAGTCACACTAAGGCCATATTCGAAAACGAGGCTGACCCAGATGTTCCTTGGAAAGATATACGAACAGTAGTGGGAACAGTGGCCATATCTATTAGTGATTTATATTAAAGGGTTGCCACATCTTTTGCACTGATAGACTATCGTAAACTTATCCCATCATGCTCCGAACAAGATGACGAGCGAAAACAAATCAGATGTAGGCTAGCCAAAAGTCTAAGGAACGATCGTGTGCAGTGATGGGCAACGAAAGCAAAACAGATGGGAAAAACCGTGACTATAACAGAAGACAGCTTTTCAGATTAATAAAAGAAACTGGAATTCTGAATTCAGTTGTGAAACAATCTCAGAAAAATATGGCACTCTTATCTGCTCCCAGTCTAAACGTTTGGAACGATGGGCAGAACACTTCAAGGAGCAGTTTAGCTTGCCTTCAGCTACCACCATTTCCAAACAGCCTGAATAAACATTGAGACAGGCCCCCTACTCGACATTGATCGAATTTCAAAAAGCTAAAGTAATCTGAAACGAGGAAGAGCAGATGGATTAACTTCAGAGGTCTGACGTAACATCGCTCTTATGTATTCATCGACTCTGTTGGATTTACAATTTTACTGCTCTTACCTGACAACCAGGAACGGGTGGAATTCTACTGCTTAGACTTTGAGACGGGAACCACTTGGATTCACACGGCACAAAGAACATCAAAGACTGGTGAAATGATGATTTACTGACTCTCCGAAAACACGTCCTTAAACAAGTTTCTAGATGGTGTCATCATGAGGCTAACATACATTCATTATATACTACGTTTTATACAACTAATAATACCACGTACAGCTTAGTTGAATTATTTCAGCTGCGAACACAGGCAACAGTATAAATATAACCCGGTGCTCTGTGGTATTATTTGACGGATGAGAACTTTGATGAAAAGCGATAAATATACGCATAAACCTCACAAACATACGTGGCCAGTAAATATTGAGTTTTCATAATGCTGGATATCCATTCTATCTAAAGTAACAGTGAGTATATAATTCAAATAAATGCGCACAAGAAAAGACGCTGAACGCTGCTTTATACGACACAACATCAACTTGTTTTATTGCTGAGTGAAGTGCGGGTATATTGAAAAATGTAAACTTACTTTCGTCAATTGATCTAAGAGGACTTAGGCCATCCGCATGAACAGAGTTCTTTCTGTAGGATCCTGTGTCTTGAACATGACATCCAGAAGTTGAGATTAAACTAGAGTTATTAAAAGACGTTTGGTCACCATTTAGTGAGAACTTAGTATTTTCCAGAGACGGCACTCCCCCCGATTGCATGGGTCTCATGCAAGCAGATTTAAGTGCTGCTCTGAAAGCCGGCCCAACCAATCGTCTTCTCACTGAGAAGTTATTTTTGCAATGACTAGATTGCTGAAATCGCAGTCTTTGTCTTCTACCTAAAAGCGTATGTTAATTAAGAAATAACTAACGTTCTGCCTTCGAATTTGTTGTTATTGCTTTGCCCAGTGCATTCTGAACTCCTTAAGTGCAATGTTCTTAATAAAATAACCTACTTTTTTCTATTTGTTCTGTTATTCCTGAATTATCAGCCTCTAATTCAATTCGGAACTTTTCCAACTCAATATCCAATTTTCTCACTAATTTACGGTACTTTGAGATAGGAGTTATAACGAATTATCATACTGTGCTATATATATTTTCCACTATTTCTCGTTTGTCCTTGCAATGAACAAGTGCTCGCTCATATTCCTGTTGAGATTCGTGATAACATGCCACACGTTACCCGAGTAATATTAAGAATCTGAGTACTTTTCTCATATTCTAAGAGTCTACCAAACCTGCAGTTTTCGAAAAACGTCTGTATGGTTTCTGATAGCGAATCTAAAATATCTTGAAAATTGAATATTATGTCTTTTGTAAAGTTACTTTGAGCTTGTAGGTCTAGCTGTCGAACATTTGTAAGGCTTTCATTTAGCTCAGATGGCATATTTCAATTGCTGCAGATGCCACTTAACAAATTTAGATTTACCTTCCATGAAATCCTCAAAGTACAACATTTTTGTTGTAGGTTTAAACCAAATAAGTAGTTTTAGAGGATCAGTTTGGTTGATTTACACATCAGTATAAAACAAGAGTATTGAAGCTTGCTCTAAAGCAATGGAAAAGAAAAACAACTAAATAAAACACAGTAAAATCATCAAACTACTGTTATTAAGTATTTAGCCATATAACTAATTGGTGGAATAATCACTGAACTGTTCGTGAACACAGTGGTATCACTCAGTCACGCTGGTTTATGATACATAAGTAAAACACGACAAAGGATGAATTTGAAGCAGAACATCCAAATGAACCACGTTTCGGAGAACAAAGGATGTGATAGATCTTCGTTGTCTTTTGTTAATCCATGCTAGGTGCGGCCGAAAATGTTTTGTTTGAGCGGGACAGCTACTATCATACTTCATTGTGTCCAGGGGTTTATGTTGGTCAGGCAGCAACATAATGCTTTTCATTAGTTGAATATAACTTAGGTCCAAATAGATTAACAAAGTGCACAATGACAAAATGCAAAGTTTCAGTAAAGTATATGGATTGAACGTGACTTGTTGCTACCTACGGCCCCCAAGTGTACTGGTACAGCCGTGGAGGGGAGAGTCAGCTCTCCCTCTCGAAATGCTCTTGCATGGTCACGCGTATACAGCCACTATCACGGAAGTCATACTCACTGCCTTCTCGTGGCACTATTGTTGTTTACGAAATTAAGAGGACAAAAAGCGGATGTCTGGCGCTTTAACCGGGTTGATAGATATGGAAAGTCCATCTAAGGGAATTGGAAAACCCTAGTTCCGAACAAATGGTGTACAGGGGCTCCAGTATCCTAAGGCAACAAATGACGTATGAACCTATTGTTCGTCACCGACCACCATGGGACTGCACTCCTAGCGTTGCTCCAATGTCTTGTGGATTAGACCTTTTGTTCAAAGGCTCGGGGTGTGACCACCTAAGAAAACCTTCGGTTTCGGTAATCGGGCAATATCACAGCCCTCACACAAGTCAATAATAACTACTACTGGCCTCATTTCTATTGTATGGCGCATATGTATTTGGTACCCCTTTGTACCAATGCTTAAGTGTTCAAATAAATAAATGTTACCTATGACCCTTAATCACTTATCACTAAATACAAGACCTTAGTTATACGAATTAATGGACAAAGTCAGTGGTCTTATAAACTGTGTTACACCATTATCCATATTCCTCTAACCTTTTAACGATATCATATGCTAGCAATCACAGAACGTGGATGCACGCAGAATAACATATCAAAACACTTTAGTCGATGAAGCTTCAACATGCATCAACTTATCTACGAATCCAAACTACCACTCTCCCTAACATTAATGTTACTAAATCAGTGGTTCTACCATACATAAACAATGAATAGTGTACATAGGATCAAATACTTGTAATCTGCACATGATCTCGACATTCAAATATGCGTTACAACTGTCATACATTACAGATGTATGTCATATATACCCTCACACAGTCAAAAAGTGGGGAAAGTTGGTGGCATGCATTCATATTCATCTCACTACCAAAATTGTTGAAATAGTTAACACGCCCAATCACATCACTCGCTATCATTAAACTAGCCATTAACGCGGACCAGTTTCAAGGTAACACTTCGAATTTAGGTGAAAAGCATTTTGTACTTTCAACCAAGACATCGTAAGCCAAGACCTGAAAACTACTGGACACTGCTGTGCGGTAGCCGCCAAAGGTTTTAGAACCCTATCGTCAACACGTATGATCTTTAGCCATGTCTATAATAAATAGGCGCGACGACCAGGAACATGCAGCGCGCAACCTTACAGATGGACTATCAGCTAACCATCGTATTCATGAAAAGAATCTCATTCTACAATTATTATTTAGAAGAACGTGGTAGATGTATATGCTAGGTGCACCAAGCATATCTTTATAGATATATATATATATCTAACTATATGGTATATACCATATAGTAAGGCTTTACACATCTACAAAGGTTGAACAAACAGAATAGTGTGGCAAATATTTACCATAAGCTTTAACAAAATCTTTGATTCTTCCAAGTAAAAGGATAATGTAACTAGTTTTTAACACTAGAGCAAAACTGTTAAATGATCCGCGTAGAGTTAAATGGTTCAAAATGGTTCAAATGGTTGTGGACGGAATAGAAGAAGCTTTCGCTTAACAGGCTTCCGTGTCTAGTAGCAGGGGATCACCAAATCCTCCAGGCAGGAACCTAGGTATGTTAACAATAAAAGAGGAAAAGAAATTGGTAAATCATAGTGCGATGCTGTCCTTGGTCCTTAAGAATAGGTCAAGTTGCCTCTTGAAGGACTCCTGAGAAGTCGCTTGGACTAGCTCGGCCGGCAGCGAATTCCAGCTTTTGACAACTCTTAAGGAGTAGAAGTTGTGTCTACATTCCGTCTTGCTATGTTGTGTTTCCAGTTTCTGGGTGTTACCCCTTAGGTTATTGTTCGAACTAAGCTTAAGTAGGTGTTTAAGAGGATGTCCAGAAGTGTTAAGAATACTATAAGCCATTAATAAATCACCTCTAAGACGCCTATATTCTAGTGGGTAAAGGTCTAGTGAACGGAGGCGTTCTTCGTAAGGCTTAGATTTGAGTCCTCGAACTGATTTCGTGGCTCGCCGTTGGATACGCTCCAAAGTGACCTTATCCTTTTGGAGTGAGGGGGGAGTACTATGTTTCCGTACTCTAAATGGGGACGGATGAAACTATTGAAGATTGTGTGGAAAGTTCTTCCGTCAAACTGACCAAAAATGCGCCTCAACGTTACCAGTGCAAGGTTTGCTCGGAAGGCATTTTTGTCACAGTTAGCGTAAGACTTTAAGTCATGGGGCACCAGGACTCCTAAATCTTTTTCGACTTGGGATACTACTAGAGAGGAGTTTCCTAAGTTGTAACTGTAGTTTGCGACATGTCGCAGATGGACTACTTTACACTTTGAAGTGTTAAAGGTAAGTCCGTTATCGTCTGCCCAACTTTGAAGTCGAGTCAGATCCTCTTGAAGTGCCTGTATATCGTCTTGGTTGCGTATCTCTCTCCAAAGTTTCACGTCGTCGGCAAAAAGTAATAAGTCTGACGTTACCTGTTGAGGAAGATCATTTATGTAGATCAAGAAGAGAAGAGGCCCTAGTACTGAGCCCTGGGGGACCCCACTAGGACATTCCATAGCCTGAGATAAAGTGAAATTAACCCTAACCTTAAAGTGTCGATTTTTTAGGTATGAAGTAAGCCAATCGATTAGAGGTGGTTTGATACCTAGTCGTTTGAGCTTGTTGATAAGACACAAGTGGTTAACCTTATCAAAAGCTTTTGAGAAATCAAGGTAAATGACATCAACCTTTCCCTTGCGATCGAGGATGCTTGTCCATCTGTCCACCGCAGTCAGCAGGTTGGTTATACAAGAGTAACCCTTCCTGAAACCATGCTGTTGGGGTGAGAAGAAATTTAAGGACAGTAGATAGTCATTTAAACCGTCGCATATCAGGGACTCCATGAGTTTTGAAGGTAATGACAGAAGAGCCACCGGCCGATAACTTGAAGGTTCATTGCGTCGACCACCTTTGAAAATTGGTGTGATGTGAGCCAACTTCCAATTTTCCGGTAATTTGCCTCGGCTAAGCGAGTGTGAAAACATCACGCTAAGCGGCGTTGCCAGGATTGAGGCTGCCTCCCTCAGTATGGCAGGATGAACCATATCCGGGCCAGGAGAAGTGTCAAGTCTTAAGTGCTGCAATTTCCGGAACACCAAGTCAGCGCTTAGGTCCACTTCAGAAAGTCCTGTGGAATTGCAGATGAAACTGTCGTCAATAAAGTTGATGTCAGCCGGTTGAAATGTTTGAGAGTAATGGGCCGCCAGAAGGTTAGCGGCGTCGCCATCGTTGTTGGTCGGGCCGTTAAGACCTAGCAGTTGAGAAACTCCTGTTTTGGCTTGACGAAGAGAGGCTGCATAACGGAATAGGCTTCTAGGGTTAGAGGCGAATTTGTCCATAAGCTTTGTTTGGTACTGAAGCCTGTCTTCTCTTATAGCCTTCGTGCATGTGTTCCTGATATGTTTGTATTGCCTATACGCTCCATCGTTATTAGTTCGTTTGTATTCCGCCCAACAGTGCCGTTTGCGGCTTAGGAGGCGAAGGGTACGGTTCTTGATTACTGTAGGTGGCTTGAAGCTTTTGGGAACCGTTTGAGGAACTGAATGGTTTGTAGCACATAAGAGCGTGTGCAGTAAGAAGTCCCAATGACCATCCACATCGATTTGAGGGTGAACATCCCAAGCCACCTGTTGTAGATAGTCATGTAGAGCTGGCACATTCAGCCGTTTAAAATTCCAACGCAAATTATTGTTGGGATACCTTAGCTTAGTTTTGATGACAAAACTGAAGGCTATGACGGCATGATCGCTTTTTCCCAGAGGAGCCAGGATTGAGAGGTTGTCGACTAGGAATTCTTCGTTAGTGAATACACAGTCTAAGCGCGATGGTGTCTGACTGTTTCTCCAACGAGTTGCCGACCTCACATTTTCATATAAGCCCAAGTTATCGATGAGGTTGAAGAACCGAGCTTCAATTGAGTTGTCGCCTCCAGTGTACGTGTGTTCCGCGAAGTTGACTCTAGGGAGATTAAAGTCCCCTAGAATCAGGATGTGTGTGAAACCGAGACGGATAGAGCGGGATAGTCCTTCCAGCATACGACTATCGTACTCGGTGTCGGCAGTTGGCTTCCTGTAAATGACTCCGACTAGACACCTGGAAGTACTAGACAACCTTACAGAGCACCATATGGATTCCTCAAGATTGTTAAACTCGAGGTTGTGAACCTGGTGCACCTCCAAGCAAGAGCTTATGTATATGGCTACTCCGCCCCCAATTCCTGTTTTTCTGTCGTTGCGGAACAAAGTCATCCCAGGCAATGCTAACTCTTGGTCCGAGAACTGAGAAGATATCCAGGTTTCAGATATTCCTATCAGATGGGCCTTATTAGCGTCGCTAAGTTCACGTAGTTCATCCAGTTTGTTTGGTAGACTCGCGGCGTTCATATATAAGCAGTTTATGCTTTCAATTTGGAACGCGTGAGCTTCGTCCTGTTTTTCTGTATGAACCTTATGTGAATGGACAGGTAGCCCACCTATATGAGGTTTGCCGAGGTGGTAGGCCCTGTCCTTTACACGTTTTTTTTATCGTTTAGACAGTCCACAAGTGGAATGGTCAGCTCCAACTTGCCTTTGTTCTTGGTCCTGACTTCGTATGGCCTATCCGGGTGCATGTGGATTCCAGGTGGCAATCGACGTCTGTTGGCACGAAATGCTTCCAGAACTGCAGCCGCCATGTGGGAAGATGGGAAGGTTATCTTCATTAGACGAGGTCTAGGATCACCGTCCTTCTTGGCTAGTCTCGTCACATGCTGAGTCAGTATGTGTTTGAGCCTCAAGGACTGTTTGATGAATTTCCATTCCCTGATGTCAGAATTTGATTGAGTAGGGTCTGCATTTTCCGGTATACCTTGGACAATTATGTTTCTTCCGCGGAAAAACTTCTCGCGAGATTCTTTAGGGACGTTTCGTATGATATTGCGCTCAGAGTACGGTATGTCGGGCAATATTCTTACGTTACCATCTGATTTCAGCAAGTGACTTGCTAGCAAGACGTCCTCTACGTCGGTAGCATTCTTAAGTGTTACTCGGAGAAGCCTCGGGTGATTTAGATGCTTAGAATCCTTTCCTCGAGTGAGCCGGGTGACCGTCAAAGGCTCTATTCTAGGAAGTTCGAGCTTTTTGTTCAATTCACCCCACAGCATCCTGTCGTTTTTGTCCTGCAGACTGAGAGGAAGGTCAGGATTGTCGACGAGGTTCATGATAATGAGAGAATCGTCACGAACTGTTGTTAATTTACCAGGTTTCACGATGGGTTCAGGTTTAATAACTTGTTTTTTGGAGGTTAGTAAATCAATTTCCAACGTAGACTAGGGAAGTTGGAAATACTACAGTTCTGGTGTTTATTTAATAATCTAAGATTTTAGAAATAACCAGCGTGGTGAAATTGTATCGACCTCATGAAGTTGGGGATAGTTTTTGTCAATTCAAGATACCTCATTAAAATTTTTGAGGGAATTTCCGTAAAAACGCGACTAAGACCCCACATGTTTCCATTGACCTAGGGTTCCTCTCAGTTTTTTTACTGAATTTTATAGGTACGTATTCAAGAATTCTGATAATTTAAGGATATTCGAAGAATTCCTCGACGTTTCGGATTGTCCTATAGACTGTTGAAAGGTCCTCGGAATTCTCATTATACATAAACTCATTTACCCTTTATTCTCAGTTCATCTCATGTCACTTCTCAAACGTCACGCAGTCGAAAATTTAATTACGAATTGTTTTGGGCATAAAGCTTATTGCTATCGCATACCATTATACATAAAATAGACTGGGGTTGCGTAATCATTTCACTTTGAGCTAATAAGTCGATTCCTGGAAGACAATCCCTAAAACCGTAACTATAAAAACTTAAATGTTAGTCTTCTATGTAATAAGTGTAAAAGTACTATCAATACCGTTTCAGTGATATGAGTTAACAATGACATTCCTAATGTAATAACTACCATTAAACCTGGGTATCATACTTTGTTGGCGAAATGCATGCAGCAACACATGAACTGTACATGAGTTACGAAAGCTTACTTGACAACTTGAAGTGAATTGAAAGTTTACTGCCATGTTTGTAAGTACTTGTGAAACCATCTAGCAAACAAAAATATACAACAAGTAGTGATTTCAAGTAAACCTGTAAAAAAATGCTTAAGGACACCTACACATATATTTAATAACACAGCTGTATCTTTTACAGGACATATCGCATTTCTGAAACGTGAATAAAAGACATCTAGCTGCGAATTCTTATATAACCCTGACTTAAGATGAACAGTTCCGTAGACTCTCTAGTTACATACACACATTTTGTGTCTAGTCCAAATTTTTGTTGTACACTTTAGACGAAAAACTACCTGTAGCCCTTCTGTGGTTACTGTCGCTTCCAAAAGAGGAGGGCACGGGGTCAGGTCAGTAAACCTATCTCACAGATAAAACATTGCTAAAATATCGCTAACCAAGAT